TGGTGACAACCTAAATCTGTTACCATGTCCCTGTTGGCCACATGTCACTAAAAACTATAACAGTTCTCAAAAACCAGAGAGGCTAGATTATACATTCTGATATTTCACAGTTGGAGTAGAAAGATGCATGAACTTGAAGAAATGATTTGCTATGTTGGTGTAGCCAAGTTCAGCAACCTTGATAGTGAGGCCCATGAAGGAAAGGATGAGCAGTGTTTCTCCTTAAGGCCACATGTGTGCCATCCACATTTTCAAGGATGCCATTCCTATATCTTTCAATGTGAATGGAACCCCCAGAACAGGATAGTGTGACTTCTCTAGAGATGGAACGTGTTTTGCTATTGGTAGAGCAGAGAAAATACATTTGAAAACAAAAACATATTCATCAAATACCCCTTGACAACTCTGCTTCCTAAAGTTTGACACAAATCAAAACCACAATGAGATACCACCTCCCACCAGTGAGAATGGGGAAAATTAACAAGGCAGGAAACCACAAATGTTGGAGAGGGTGTGGAGAAAAGGGAACCCTCTTACACTGTTGGTGGGAATGTGAACTGGTGCAGCCACTCTGGAAAACTGTGTGGAGGTTCCTCAAAGAGTTAAAAATAGGGAGGGAGGGGCAAGATGGCGGAAGAACAGGGTCCCCAAATCGCCTGTCCCCACCAAATTACCTAGATAACCTTCAAACAATCCTGAAAATTTACGAATTCGGCCTGAGATGTAAAGAGAGACCAGCTGGAATGCTACAGTGAGAAGAGTCCGCGCTTCTATCAAGGTAGGAAGACGGGGAAAAAGAAATAAAGAAACAAAAGGCCTCCGAGGGGGAGGGGCCCCGCGAGGAGCCGGGCTGAGGCCGGGGCGAGTGTCCCCAGGACAGGAGAGCCCCGTCCCGGAGGAGCAGGAGCTGCACCAACCTTCCCGGGCGGGCGGAAAGGGGCCCGCAGGGAGTTGGAGCAGGACCCAGGAGGGCGGGGATGTCCTCGGGCTCCCGGGGACACTAACAGACACCTGCGCCCCGGGAGAGTGCTCCGAGCTCCCTAAGGGCTGCAGCGCGCACGGCGGGACCGACCGGAGCAGCTCGGAGGGGCTCGGGAGCGGCTCCAGGGAGGGAGCTGCGGGGCGGGAGCGCGAATCCACCAGCGCAGGCCCCGGAGCACAGGGCGCCGGGACACAGCCCAGGATCCGGCCTCCCCCGGGACAGGCAGAGGCCGGGAGGGCCCAGAACAGCAAGGACGCTCCTGCCCCAAGCTGAGCACATCAGCGGCCCCGCCCCGGAGCCTCCAGGCCCTGCAGACGGAGAACCGAGAGCCCCGAGCCCCGTAGTTCCTGCGGAGGCTAAATCCAGGCTTCCAGAGTTGCCATAGCAACTGCTGCTGTTCCTCCTGGGGCCCCACGGGGGTAAACAACCCCCGCTGAGCCCGGCAGCAGGCAGGGGCAGAGCAGCTCCCCCAAGTGCTAACATCTGAAAATCAGCACAGCAGGCCCCTCCCCCAGAAGACCAGCTAGAAGGACCAGTGATACTCCCCCGGGTTCCAATACAACTTGTTTTTGGCCACTCTGCACTGAGCAAAATGACTAGAAGGAAAACCTCACCTCAAAAGAAAGAATCAGAAACAGCCCTCTCTCCCACAGAGTTACAAAATCTGGATTACACTTCAATGTCAGAAAGCCAATTCAGAAGCACTATTCTACAGCTCCTGGTGGCTCTAGAAAAAAGCATTAAAGACTCACGAGACTTCATGACTGCAGAATTCAGATCCAATCAGGCAGAAATTAAAAATCAATTGAATGAGATGCAATCCAAACTAGAAGTCCTAACGACGAGGGTTAACGAGGTGGAAGAACGAGTGAGTGACATAGAAGACAAGTTAATGGCAAAGAGGGAAACTGAGGAAAAAAGAGACAGTCAATTAAGGGACCATGAAGACAGATTAAGGCAAATAAATGACAGTCTGAGGAAGAAAAACCTACGTTTAATTGGGGTTCCCGAGGGCGCCGAAAGGGACAGAGGGCCAGAATATGTATTTGAACAAATCCTAGCTGAAAACTTTCCCAATCTGGGAAGGGAAACAGGCATTCAGATCCAGGAAATAGAGAGATCCCCCCCTAAAATCAATAAAAACCGTTCAACACCTCGACATCTAATAGTGAAGCTTGCAAATTCCAAAGATAAAGAGAAGATCCTTAAAGCAGCAAGAGACAAGAAATCCCTGACTTTTATGGGGAGGAGTATTAGGGTAACAGCAGACCTCTCCACAGAGACCTGGCAGGCCAGAAAGGGCTGGCAGGATATATTCAGGGTCCTAAATGAGAAGAACATGCAACCAAGAATACTTTATCCAGCAAGGCTCTCATTCAAAATGGAAGGAGAGATAAAGAGCTTCCAAGACAGGCAGGAACTGAAAGAATATGTGACCTCCAAACCAGCTCTGCAAGAAATTTTAAGGGGGACTCTTAAAACTCCCCTTTAAGAAGAAGTTCAGTGGAACAATCCACAAAAACAAGGACTAAATAGATATCATGATGACACTAAACTCATATCTGTCAATAGTAACTCTGAACGTGAATGGGCTTAATGACCCCATCAAAAGGCACAGAGTTTCAGACTGGATAAAAAAACAGGACCCATCTATTTGCTGTCTACAAGAGACTCATTTTAGACAGAAGGACACCTACAACCTGAAAATAAAAGGTTGGAGAACCATTTACCATTCAAATGGTTCTCAAAATATACCCTAAAAACTACAGAACACTTCTGAAAGAAATTGAGGAAGACACAAAGAGATGGAAAAATATTCCATGCTCATGGATTGGCAGAATTAATATTGTGAAAATGTCAATGTTACCCAGGGCAATTTACACGTATAATGCAATCCCTATCAAAATACCATGGACTTTCTTCAGAGACTTAGAACAAATTATTTTAAGATTTGTGTGGAATCAGAAAAGACCCCAAACAGCCAGGGGAATTTTAAAAAAGAAAACCATATCTGGGGGCATCACAATGCCAGATTTCAGGTTGTACTACAAAGCTGTGTTCATCAAGACAGTGTGGTACTGGCACAAAAACAGACATATAGATCAATGGAACAGAACAGAGAACCCAGAAGTGGACCCTGAACTTTATGGTCAACTAATATACGATAAAGGAGGAAAGACGATCCACTGGAAGAAAGACACTCTCTTCAATAAATGGTGCTGGGAAAATTGGACATCCACATGCAGAAGAATGAAACTGGACCACTCTCTTGCACCATACACAAAGATAAACTCAAAATAGATGAAAGATCTAAATGTGAGACAAGATTCCATCAAAATCCCAGAGGAGAACTCAGGCAACACCCTTTTTGAACTTGGCCATAGTAACCGGAGAAGGACAAACAGTATATGTTCTCATTCATTTGGGGAATATGAATAATAGTGAAAGGGAATATAAGGGAAGGGAGAAGAAATGTGTGAGAAATATCAGAAAGGGAGACAGAACATAAAGACTTCTAACTCTGGGAAATGAACTAGGGGTGGTGGAGGGGGAGGAGGGCGGGGGGTGGGGGTGAATGGGTGATGGGCACTGAGGGGTACACTTGACGGGATGAGCACTGGGTGTTATTCTGTATGTTGGTAAATTGAACACCAATAAAAATTAATTTATAAAATAAAAAAAAAAGAGTTAAAAATAGACCTGCCCCACGACCCAGCAATTGCACTGTTGGGGATTTACCCCAAAGATGCAGATGCAATGAAACGCCGGGACACCAGCACCCCGATGTTTCTAGCAGCAATGTCCACAATAGCCAAACTGTGGAAGGAGCCTCGGTGTCCATCGAAAGATGAATGGATAAAGAAGCTGTGGTCTATGTATACAATGGAATATTCCTCAGCCATTAGAAACGACAAATCCCCACGACTTGCTTCAACGTGGATGGAACTGGAGGGTATTATGCTAGTGAAGTGAGTCAGTCAGAGAAGGACAAACATTATATGGTCTCATTCGTTTGGGGAATATAAATAATAGTGAAAGGGAATATAAGGGAAGGGAGAAGAAATGGGTGGGAAATATCAGAAAGGGAGACAGAACATAAAGACTCCTAACTCTGGGAAACGAACTAGGGGTGTGGAAGGGGAGGAGGGCGGGGGGTGGGGGTGAATGGGTGATGGGCACTGAGGGGGGCACTTGACGGGATGAGCACTGGGTGTTATTCTGTATGTTGGTGAATTGAACACCAATAAAAAAATAATTTATTAAAAAAAAGTTATAGAATAGCAAAACCCAATCACCTAGGTTTAAAATTCTCTCAGGCATTTTAACTACAGAGTCAGAACAATTTTCCAGGCTTCTTCAGTGGGCTGCTAGCATAATATGAGTGAAGAGGGTATGCTCTTTTCAGTAAATATATGAGAGAATCAGGATAGGTTTTAAGACTTTTTTTGACTGCCACGAATTAACAAGACAACCCTGCAAACGATGTGCCCTCCTGATGTTTGTCTTTTTTAATTTTTTTTTAGAGAGAGAGACACACAGAGAGAGAGTAGGCACACAAACAAGTGTGTGCTTGGGGGAGAGGAGGTACAAAGGGGGAGGAAGAGAGAACATCTCAAGCAGGCTCCATGCCCAGCATGGAGCTCAACACAAGTCTTGCTCTCACGACCCTGAGATCATGACATGAGCTGAAATCAAGAGTTGGATGCTTCACTGACTGATCCACCCAGGGGCCCTTAAGTCGTTATTTTTTAAGTGGAGATTAAAATACCTGTCAAATTTATATCACAGAGTTGAAATAGCAATAAAATGAGAAAAATACAAATATAGTCCTTTCTGTTTCTGCAGGGCCCTTTGGCCAACTTTGCTTTCATGTGGTATATTTTGCAAATAGGAATTTTGTTTCTAAAACTTGTTAGGAATTCTATGTGGATAGATGTGGGCACTTGTTGACATGGCATTAAGTTCAATGAATACCATGCCTTGCCTTCATCTTTTGAGTTTCTTTTTTTTTTTTTTTTTATTTTTCCCAAGTCTGGATTTATTGGAAGCCACATAATTCACAGTTCAGCCCATCTTCCAATTCTGCTCTCTGAAGGCTGGTCTACTTCTAGCCTAAGCTGGGGAGAAGTACATAACCCACCACAGTGTGTCCAATACCCTGACAGTGTTTTATTTCAAACTCTGATCCCTGCCTATAATTAAAAAGAAAATTCTGCCAGTTTGCTCCTGACGGTCTCTGCTACAGGAAAAATAGGTATCTGAAACATACTTTTGTTGAGACTCAAAAGCTAGATATACAATTTAAATAGGACGAAGTGGGCTTATGGCTGTATGTATTAGCCAGCCACCCACCTGGACCCAGCCATCAGCCGTGGTTGTGGAGGAGACAGCTGGAAACACCCAAGCAGGAGAGGAAAGGTCAAACATAGATGCTTCTACAGCATGATGGAGAGATGACTGACTTCACAGCTTCCAGACTCCATAGCATCCAGCCACCTCATCACCATGCTTCAATCCGAGGAGTCATTTATGCCACCAGGATAGCTAAAGTTTATGGGCCTCTCCTTGTGGTTCTTCATAGTCTTCCCAGGGTTTCAGCTGGGGCCCAGGGATCATCACCGTCTTAAGGATGGGCTGCTTATGGGGTGCCCATGGAGGGGTGATCTTGCCATGCATTCTCCAGCTCCCATAGGGATTTACCAGGTGCTTTTCAAACACAACATACTCCAGGACATCCCTGGGCACATCTTCCTGTCCATACATTAGCCGGCCAAACCGGTCATAGATGGCTAGAGTCTGTCGGGTGTGCAAGCGGACAGTGACCTGGCCGTATATGTTGCCCTGGTTCAGCAGATTCGAACAGCGAACCTGAACCACCTGGGGTGGCTCTAAAGATTCTACAAAGCTCCAGCGGACTGTCTTATACTTGATGTCCCAGACCATGTCCGGAAAACAGTTTTCAGTTACCAAGGTATGAAGCCGGTCATGGTCTGAGTTGTTTAGACAAAGGTGAGCTTCAATAAAAATATCCTTAGCTTTTTCGGGGAAGTCCTTTATTTTAAAATTAGGATCATGTTCTCTTATCTTCCGGATTGACAATTGTGATGCCACCTTCTTCTTCAGTTGTTCACTTCTCTGTGCTAGTCCTTCCTTTGCAAGAGATGACAAGCGAGCATCACCCTCTGGAGGAACATAGGCATCAAAGATACCAGCTGTACAGGCCAGATGTAGTGGACGCTCCAAACGTTCTGGAGGAATGACCAGTCCTGCTTTCCGGGCATATTCCATAAACTCCTTTTCTGATTTGTATTTGGGTTTATAAGTAGGAGGTGTGAAACGTTTTTTAGTTCTCACTGGAACTACAACTGTGGACTGAGTCACCAGGACAGGCTGCCGAGACCACCATCCTAAGGCTTTGGATAAACAATACAAACCCCGCGGTGTGGGGGCTGCCATTTTGTTCCCATCTTTTGAGTTTCTTACATTTTAGCACATAGAACTGAGAAATAAGATGCTAGAGGGTTGTGTGTGTGTGTGTGCGCGCGCACATGTGTGTATCTTGGCAGAGGTGAGGTATAATTCAGTGTCTCCCAAAAAACACTCAAAGCTCAAAACAATAGCCCTTTGATAAAGACAACTTAACTTGAAGAGACAACGAAGAACAAATAATACCTTAGAATATTGTGGATGTCATTCAGTAAGGAGATAGTGCTGTAGGCCCACTCATGATTAGTTGAAGATGTTTCAAGTTCTTTTTAAGCTCCCAAAATGAATGGGTTAGAGTTAAGGGTTGGGGGGTGGGATGGGAGTATAGTCACTGACAATAAGAAAACAAAATGATCTTACCTGTCAGGTTGAAAATACTTTTGGCCATATAGACATATGATTTAGCATAATGGTATTTGAACAGTAGTGTTTTCTACATGTGTTTTCTTCTTTCCAAACTGTTGAGAACAAAATGACTTAATGCTTTATATTTTAATTGACATATTATTCACATGCTATGAAATGTACCCTTTAAATGTACCCATTCAGTGAATCTCAGTATGTTCATATGGTTGTACAACGATCCATATGACCTAATTTATTTTCCTTATCCCCAAGGAAACCCTATATGTTGCCAGTCATTCTCATTACCCCTCCCCCTAGTCTTTGGCAATCGATAATATCCTTTTTATCTCTATAGATTCGCGTATTCTGAAATTTTCATGTAAATGGATTATAAAAGATATGCCCTTTGGTGTCTGGCCTCTTTCACTCAATTTAATGTTTTCCAGGTTCATTTTAGTTGTAACAAATATGTCACTATGCCACTCTTTCTCACCAGTGAATAATATTCTGTTGTATGGATAGACCACACTTTGTGTATCTGTGCATCAGTTGATGGACATTTGGATCGTTTTCACTTTGTGGCTATTATGAATAATGCTGCTGTGGAAACTTACGTACAAGTTGGTGAACTTTTTTTTAATAATAAATTTTATTTTTTAGAGCAGTCTAAGGTTTCCAGAAAAGTTTAGCTAAAAGTGTAGAGAATTCCTAACATACTCCGTCTGCCCCACCACTCAACACCACTCAGTTTTCCTTGTTACTACCTTGGTAGTAACATTGGTAGGGTACATTAGTTACAACTGGTGAACCAACATTGATAAATATTTTTTTAAAGATTTTTATTCATTTTGGGAGAGAGATAGAGAGAGAGAGAGAGAGAGAGAGAGAGAGAGAGAGAGAAAGTGAGGGTAGAGGCAAAGGGGAAGGTAGAGGGATGAGAAGACTGCACTGAATATGGAGCTCAGCACAGGACTTGATCCTACAACTCTGAGACCATGACCTGAGCCCAATCCAAGAGTCTTGACACTTAACATACTATACCATCCAGGCTTGTGAATACATTATAATAAGAGTTCCTAACTTATGTTAGGGTTTATTCTTTTTGTTGTAGATTCTACAGGTCTTGTTAAATGCATGTCATGTATTCACTTTTACAATATCCTACAAAATAATGGTTTACTGCCCTAAAAAATCTGATCTCCATCTCCCTCCTTCCCTCTTTCCCCTGTTCTTTCTCTTTCTCTCCTTGCTTTCCCCTAACTTCCTGGCTGGTCTCTATTTCTTCTTCTTTTTCTTTTTTCCTTCTCTAGAATATTACATAGTTGGAACCATACAGGCTGTAACATTTTTAGACTGGCTTCTTTCACTTAGCAATATGCATTTAAGTTTCTTTTTTTTTTAAATCTTTTTTAATAATAAATTTATTTTTATTGGTGTCCAATTTGCCAACATACAGAATAACACCCAGTGCTCATCCCGTCAAGTGCCCCCCTCAGTGCCCGTCACCCATTCACCCCCACCCCCCGCCCTCCTCCCCTTCCACCACCCCTAGTTCGTTTCCCAGAGTTAGGAGTCTTTATGTTCTGTCTCCCTTTCTGATATTTCCCACACATTTCTTCTCCCTTCTCTTCTATTCCCTTTCACTATTATTTATATTCCCCAAATGAATGAGACCATATAATGTCTGTCCTTCTCCGATTGACTTATTTCCCTCAGCATAATACCCTCCAGTTCCATCCACATGGAAGCAAATGGTGGGTATTTGTCATTTCTAATGGCTGAGGAATATTCCATTGTATACATAGACCACATCTTCTTTATCCATTCATCTTCCGATGGACACCGAGGCTCCTTCCACAGTTTGGCTATTGTGGACATGGCTGCTAGAAACATCGGGGTGCAGGTGTCCCAGCGTTTCATTGCATCTGAATCTTTGGGGTAAATCCCCAGCAGTGCAATTGCTGGGTCGTAGGGCAGCTCTATTTTTAACTCTTTGAGGAACCTCCACACAGTTTTCCAGAGTGGCTGCACCAGTTCACATTCCCACCAACAGTGCAGGAGGGTTCCCTTTTCTCCACATCCTCTCCAACATTTGTGGTTTCCTGCCTTGTTAATTTTCCCCATTCTCACTGGTGTGAGGTGGTATCTCATAGTGGTGGTTTGATTTGCATTTAAGTTTCTTCCATGTCTTTACATGGTTTGATAGCTCATTTCAAATTACATGGTTTGATAGCTCATTTCTCATTATCACCGAATAATATTTGTTTGTATAGCTATGCAACAGTTTATTCACTTATTGAAGAACATCCTGGTTAGTTCCAATTTTTGGCAATTAGGAATAAGCTGCTATAACCGTTCATGTGCAGGTTTTTATGTAGACTTAGGTTTTCAACTTATCTGGGTAAATATCTAAAAGTGTGATTGCGGGACCCCTGGGTGGCGCAGCGGTTTGGCGCCTGCCTTTGACCCAGGGCGCGATCCTGGAGACCAGGGATCGGATCCCACGTCGGGCTCCCGGGGCATGGAGCCTGCTTATCCCTCTGCCTGTGTCTCTGCCTCTCTCTCTCTCTGTGACTATCAGAAATAAATAAACAAAATTTTAAAAAAATTTAAAAGTGTGATTGCTGGATCATTTGGTAAGACTAGGTTTAGTGTTGTAAGAAACTGCCAAATATTTTTCTGAAGTACTTGTGTCATTTTGCATTCTTGTCAGCAAAGAATGACAGTTCCTATTGCTCTATATCCTCACAAGCATTGTTCTCCATATTTTGATTTTAGCTGTTCTAATAGGTGTGGGATAGAATCTCACTAATATTTTAGTTTGCAATTCCCTAATACTATGTGATGTTGAACTTCTTTCTTTTTTTAAAATATTTTATTTATTTATTCATAGACACACAGAGAGAGAGAGAGGCAGAGACACAGGGAGAGGGAGAAGCAGGCTCCATGCAGGGAGCCCGATGTGGGACTCGATCCCGGGTCTCCAGAATCACACCCCAGGCTGCAGGCGGCGCCAAACCGCTGCGCCACCAGGGCTGCCCCTTGAACTTTTTTCTATATGATTATTTACCACTTGTAAATCTTGTTTGGTGAGATGTCTGTTTAAATCTTTTCCTCAGGTTTTTTTTTTTTTTTTTATTTATGATAGTCACAGACAGGGAGAGAGAGAGAGAGGCAGAGACACAGGCAGAGGGAGAAGCAGGCTCCATGCACCGGGAGCCCGACGTGGGATTCGATCCCGGGCCTGCAGGATCGCGCCCCGGGCCAAAGGCAGGCGCCAAACCGCTGCGCCACCCAGGGATCCCTTTTCCTCAGTTTTTAATTAGATTGTTTATTTACTTACTGAGTTTTAATTGCACATATGATTTTAGTTTCCTTGAGTACATACCTAAGAATGGAATCCTGGCTCATATAGAAACTCTATGTTTAACTTTTTGTGGACATGCTAAACTGTTTTTCAAAGCAGCTTTACCACTGTAATGTTACCATTGACAATGTATAAGGATCCCAATTTCTCCACGTCATAGGCAACACTCGTTATTATTAGTCTTTTTTGTTATAGCCATCCAAGTGAGTACGAAGTGGCATCTCATTGTGGTTCTGATTTGCATGTAGTCAATGATGTCTTTTCCTTTTAAAAAAAAAAAATTCCACCAACCTGTGCCTTTTAGTTAGAATGTTTATTTCATTTACATTTAATGAAATTAATAAGGTATGATTTATATTTATCAATTTGCTATTTGTTCTACATATATCTCATGTCTTTCTTACTGTTCTACATTTTCTCTTTTAATGTTTTACTGTGTTAGATTTTTCTAGTGTACCATTTTAATTTCTTTGTCATTTATTTTATGTATTTATTATTTTCTTAATGGTTGCCTTAGAAATTACAATTAACATATTAATTTACAACAATCTAGCCAGATTAACACAAACTGAATTTCAATCATACAAATCTTTGCTCCTATGTAGTTCCACCCACTTGCTGCTATTATTGTCATACAAATTATATATTTTTACATTGTATATATTTATAATTGTATGTAGTTTTGTTTTCATTATATAGAGGAAAATATACAAATAATACTTTTATAGCATCCTTTATATAGTAATACTTATACTGGTGCTCTTCATGTGCTCTTCATTTCTTCATGTGGACGTTGTGTTCTTTTCAGTTCACTGAAAAAGATTCCTTTTGTATTTACTGAGGGGCAGGTCTAGTAATGAGCAGTTCTCTCCATTTTTGTTTACCTTGCAATGTCTTAATTACTCCTTTGTTTTTGAAGGACAATTTGCTGGATATAGAATTCTTGGATCTATAGAACTGTTGGTTCAGTTCTTGGTTGACAGTCTTTCTTTCAGCACTTTGCATAAGTCAATTCACTGCCTTATGGCCTCCATGTATTTTTATTTTTTTATTATTTTTTTGGCCTCCATGTATTTTTAAAGAGTTTATTTATTTATTCATGAAAGACACACGGAGAGAGAGGCAGAGACATAGGCAGAGGGAGAAGCATGCTCCTTGCAAGGAGCCTGATGTGGGACTTGATCCTGGATCCTGAGATCATGCTCTGAGCCAAAGGCAGACACTCAACCACTGAGCTACTCAGGTGCCCCAGCGTCCTTGA